GACGGTTCTTTTTTTGGGGGGGGGCAAAAGCCAAGCCCCTTTGGGTGCTGCGGCCAAAGCGCCCTGGAAGAGTTTGGGGTTGCATCAGCTCTAGGGAGCGACCACCACCCACCCACTGACCCCATGAGCAGGTCAGGGCCAGTGCCCCACGCCAACCGGACCCTCACCGGAAGACGAGGGAGCAGTTCTGCCAGTCGAAGGGGAAGAAGGTGACCTCGATGGAGCAGGTGCTGCGGTAGATGGCCGGGGGCAGCCAGCTCAAGCTGCCCCCGGGATAGATCAGGACGTTGGCCGAGTAGGCCACCTCAAAGTTCCCGTCGATGCTGCCGGGAGCGGGTGCGAGAGAGGACGATTGAGAAGGAAGCCATGGGATTTTGGCAAGGAAGAAATCTGCCCCCAGCACCCCAGTCCACAGGGCACTATGATACCTTTACCAGTACAACCCCAAAGGCACGTCTTTGGCAAGCAAGGAGTTCCTTTTCACCATCTTGGCCTGATGAAGAACTACGTGGGTTTTGAAAGCTTGCAGGACAGATTTTATTACTGGGAACCTCAGACTGTCTCATGTGGTGAACTCACCATTTCCCATTTTATAAGGCACCCCCCCAAAAAAAATCTCAGCTAGATTCAGCTCCCCAACAGAAGGGGCACCCCATGGCCCCCTCCCCACCCCCCACCCCCAACCTCTGGTGCCATTGGTCTCACTTGTTCTCCAGGACGATGTCCGGCAGCCACACCTTCTCGGCCGGGACCCGGAGGGCACGGATCCCCCCAAAGTCTTTGCTGCTGAAGTTCAGGCGGTAGTCCACCCATTGCTAAGGCCACGGAGGAGTCCGGTCCGAGGCAAGGAAGGAGAAAGTGGGGGAGAAAGGTCCGGTCAGGCCAGAAGGGAGCAAAGTGGACACTCAACTGACCCAGGGCAGAAGGAGCCCTGCAGACCCTCACCCAAGGCCGCCCTGGGCTTCTTGAAGGGTCTGCGTGCACAGGACTCCCATCCAGTGGGTCACAAGTCCAGAAGCCCAGTGGGGTGTGTGGGTCTTATGTCTTGCATCATCATCATCATCATCATCATCATCATCATCAGTAATCTCCCCATAGGCCAACCCAATATCCAGCCGTTGAATGAAGGCCCTACTCTGGTCTGGACAAGTCAATAGGATCTGGCCAAGATAGTGAGAACGTATACAAGGTGACCGCTCCTGTAATATTACTTATCTTGGAGAAGAAGGAGATGGAAGGTGGGAAATAGAAGGCTGCCCCCCAGTCTCCCTTGCAGACCCCTCCCCTCCCACAGAAGAGGCCAAGGTTGAGATGTGACCCCCCCCCACAAGCGCAGGGCATGGGGGAACAGGGTCAGCCATGCAAAGCCGCAGGGCCGGCTCCCACCCACCTGCTCAATCCAGACGTTGGTGGTCAGGGTCTCCATCTTCTCGTTCTGCCAAGGAAGACAAGCGGAGTGGACCGTCCTTCAGCTGGGGCTTTGGGGGCCCTTTGGCTTGCCAGGCCCAGAGGGATGGACGGAGGGGTGTCCGCCGAGGGCCGCTTGGCAAGACCGCCAGGGCAGGCAGGGCAGCCCACCATGCCCCAGGCCAAAGGGCAGCCCAGGGGTCCCATGACCCCCCCCCAAAAAAAAGGAAATGCCCTTCTTGATTTCCCTGTATGTATTGAGTTACTCCATTTATATCCTGACTGAAAGACACAAGGCGGAACAAGACGCAATGGGAAAAAGTTTAAAAGCCACTGAGTCAAAAGAACCCCAATTTAGAGGCAGTCCTGCCTAGTGGTGGGAGCGTTGGACTGGGGCTCTAGGAGACCAGGGTTCGAATCCCTGCTCAGCCAAGGAAACCCACTGGGTGACTCTGGCCAAGTCACACTCTCTCAGCCTGGGAGGAAGGCCATGGTGGCGAACCCCCTCTGAGTCATAAGTCCCCCCCCTT